TGGAATATGAAGGACCGTTGAGTTTCCCGCTTCACAGCAGTCTGCAGAGCAATAAAAGTGTTTGCGTAATAGCACGTCAGGAGTGGAAACAGCAATGAAGGGAGCTGCTTACATGGCAGTGACGTGTCACGCGGATTCGTGAGTTGATTAATGGTTTGTAACAGTGCATTCCTTCACCGCTGCAGACAACGCATGCGGCCCTAAGGGTGAAGGACAGGCATGGATGAGCGGAAAGAGGGATCGACACAACGGAAATGAATAAAAAGCCTACCAATTGGTGGAGTGGTGATAGTATCATCGAAGGTGAATATTGGACGCGAGGCTTTCGAGCCCACCACAAACATATCGTAAGTAGAACTAGGGCTTAGACCGCGAAGTATGATCCGTCCATTTGCAAACGCAGTAGAATTTCTTTCGAAGAAGACGAAGGACACACCCACTGCAGTTAATGTGAGCTCGTCAGCGATACCCGGGGTCAAGCCTTCGAGGTCCCAAGTCAACTCAACGTGTTCAGAACCCACGTAGCTCCATTGGAAATGTACCCCAGGCCTGTTCACTCCAGGTGTTTCATTTGACATTGTGCACTCTTCAAAAACCAGTAAAAATCACCAGCTAACATCAATCTCCGTCAATTAAATTTGGTCACACTCACACTTAACTGCATGTTTATTAACCGTGAGTAAGCTGCCGCCATTTAGCGGTCACAACTTGGGCACACAGCTATATCGACACTGAGAATGCAGCAACAAACACATTGGGACAAATAAAACAATGGCATTCTTCGCAATCTTCTTCACTCAAAGCCAAAGAGGAGTGGAAGGTGACATACCATTTAGTGCAGCGATTGTCGCGGCCCCGAAGATACCCACGAGCAGGATGAGGGTGGTGAAGGAGAAGACCGGCATCGAGTTTGCGAACCTGTGCGCCCACAGATAATAGGGCTTTTATAGAAGTGACCACACCCATGTCGGTCTATGCGAAGTCTTGATTTGCCCTTTCGAATTCACTTTAGGTGCATTGTGATGGATCTAGTGAGTTTCCTCCCAACCCAGCACACCCTACCCAGCACGCTCCTCACAGTTGAGGTGCGCAACAGCGGGTTTGAGTGCAAATGAACTCAAACTCGCGTGATGGAAAATGGGGTCGACGCGCATATTGCCTCATGATTGAAAGTCAATTTCAAAGTGGCCTTAGGTGTGCGTGTGTGGACAACCTCAAAAGCTAACAGTTTGACTTGTAAGGTGGTAGGTGATTTTCTTTCGGTCCGATGGTGCTATTTTCAGCGAAATTTGCTTGGCGCATTTCAACTCACAAACATTAATTATTGTGAAAAACATGCGGATAGAAGCTAGGAAGTGACGCTTCGTCCGTCGCGGTTATGACCTGCTTTGGGTGCATGCGACCTTAACTAAACATCCGTTCTGAGCAACGATGGAAGGACGTCCCACTGCACCTGCCACAGCCTCCCAAAACACGGCGTGTGTGCCCACGGGGAATAGTTGCGCACCTCTGGCCATCACCACCCATCGCATGCCATTATGTCGCCCCTCTATTTTTAATGACTTCCTATTGCTAAACATACAATTTGCTATATCCACATCCTTTCGGACACTTTGGGTAACTAGCGTTTACTGGCAACTGATCTCTCACTGTCATGAAGAGAAGCCTTTGACCTTTGATTGCTCCGATTATTAATTATTCCCTCCTTTGTCCTGAAAAACTTGGATTCGTGTTTAGTGTAGGACTGCCAAGTTTCCACATATTCGACAGCTTCATACAGTAAAAATGAGGCTGGCAGCTCATGAGCTTAATTTGAAAGAATGACTTTATTAGATCAGCACCGCAGACCAGTAAATGCACCCACGATTTTTAATTGTCATCTCAACTTTTCACTCACTAAGTGTGAGAAGGTGTGTTAAATGTACTCGTCGAAGCGCTAATGGTTGTAGTAGCCTGCGCGATGCAGGGGCGCATGGGCACTCTCCATATCTCAACGCAACAATCGCATCAGCCCCCTGATGCTAAGTGGGTGAATTGAGGTTTGCTAGTTCCTTACCTCAGGACTTGAGCAACCGTGGTAACTGCTTTTATCAATTGCTAAAGCCATTCGGATGTAGCATCTGCACATTACATTCTTTGCTAAGTCAAGGTAGTGTTCGGTAGATGGTGGGAAACGTGGTGCATGGACTACTTTTCACACTCCAAAGATGCAACGATTAGATGGAGAGGTTGCCTTTGCTCTGTGTGCACACCGATAAACGCTGTTATGCCTTTACCTTGCTTGCACCGTGTCTCAACCTTCCCCTTGATGAACGCATTGGTGGATGTACATAACTGTTTGACCTTGTCTCCATAAAATTTACTCGTACTTTGATGTCGGCATATTCGTTTAGACATTGAAATGGGCGGCATGTTGCCCTCCATTCTTTGGATCTGATGAGCCTAGGCGAAAAGACTATTACAACAGTGCTATTGTTTCTCTTTTCTTGTTATGATGTAAGCACTTACTGAGGTTGTGACAACTGAGGAGCCTTGCATTACCTCTAATCATAAAGGAATACATGGCTATGTGCAGATTACACAATCCTAATGGACAAAGATTTGAATTTGGTGGTTACAAGTTAACTCTTTCTGCCATTTTTAACCTTTCGAAGAGCCGGCGTCTGACCCTGCATCACATCAACACTTTCTATCCCCCTTTTTCACCCCGTCTTTCTCCTTTTCTCCCCATTCTCCATTCCACACTTATCGCTTAGCCGAGGCCTGTTTGTCCTACTCACACTTGAGCACAGAGGTCTCGTTGATAGTGTTCATGCGGCTGTCGCTGTTAACCGTTGCAAGAGCGCCTTGATTGATGCAAGCAAGCCAATGGGTGCGTGACTGAAACCGCCAGGTATAAACGGTGCGTCCAGAGGCGACCCTGCAATGCTGTCTGCAGAGTCCATAATGGCATTTTTAAAACTCCTTAAGCCTGTTTTTCGCAACGAATGCTGATTTATCCTCAATTCTCTGCTTCGACTTGTCAGTAGTCAGGTTCCGAATCCACAGCATGGCGATTCGCTTAGCCCTTTGCAGCAAGTCCAGTGGGTCAATTCATGCGACGAAAGGTAAAAGGTGGCTTGACACCGGTGTGGGAAATCGGCTTCTAGTACCACGTCCCAGGCAGTCCCATGACACAGCACGAAACTCACTTCCCAGCTCTTCTTTGCAACTGTGACGACGATGGAAGCTTCTCCTGTGCGTTCCTTCTGCAAGTGTAGCCTTGCGGTCGGGAGAGCGATCTGAAACATTTGGAAAATATGTGGAAACGCCTGGACGCCTACGAGTTCAGAATGTAATGGATGGGCGACCTTCACTCTCTCTCACGTAAGTTGCAGATTGGAAGTGCTTACCACCATGCGACTCGTCATTTTCCTTCTCATCGTGTCTTTATACTGATGCTCTTCTTTTCATTACGCACTGCTCCATTTTTTCCCCTTCACTCCAATAACAGGCTGGCATCTGTCACGTGGAACACAGGTTCGTAGCACCAATTACCACGGCACCCCTCCATTCTCAACCATGAGCTCCCACCTCCTCTCTCCCTCCCTTTTTGTCAAGTCATGCTTCCTCACGTGCAACGCAAAATCAAACTACTAACCGGCACCACACCCGTCAAGTCTCCACCAACTCTTTCCTAATTCCCTCCACTTTGTTCATTGCCGCTGCTTCTTTTGAGTTATTTATGTTAAACTGAATTTAGCAATGAGGAGGGCAATGTTATCGGGATTCCTCATTCTTTTGTTGCAATAGGTTACTTTGAACTCCTTAATGCAGGTGATGTGCATTTCAAGGAGGCTTGTTTCCTTTTCGAATCAGCAACTTTTGACAAATGGCTACGACTTGCTCACCTCATTTTATGCGCATTAAGCGCACCTTATTTGTCTGCACTTTTGACTTTAAACTGCTACCTCCTTTTGCTCTTTTGAGGAGGCAATCGCAAATGCTGCATGCAATGCCCGTTTAAAATTGCCTTCATAAGTGTTCGACTCAATCACCTTCACTCCCCGTTGCCTAATCTTGTTGGCACGACTTTTGAACGCAATTTCGGCTCATGGGTCGAAGTGTAGATAAAACGGCTCAGCCAAGGGTCTCAGACTCCAAACCCACCTCCACGACTTGCAGATGGTGCTGGACAATGTTGGACGCCTGTGCTGTTCAGAACCACCTTCACTCACAACAAGCAGGTGTTGTTTGTTCAACCACTACACTGTAGATGTAGAAATGCAAACTTCCTTGATTTTCTCCCCTCTAGATAGTCGATGAAGCAATGTCAAGCACCAGCTTGTAAAGATGTTCATTTCTTTTTAACAAAACTGTCTCATGTATTGCTGATTGCAAAGTTGGCTTCTGTTCTTCCATCCTATGACTCAATTCGGAGAGAGACAATAATAATGCTATTACTGTCGCCCAATACAAAATATACATATGCACAATCGTTTGGTTGGCAAAAAAACACGGACAACCAATGTGCGTGATGATGGGAATGTCTGTGTTCTACCCCGTCTTCTCACGGCCTGGTTCATGCCTCGAACACTGGATCTGTGTGGGTGTGCGTGCGTACGTGCGTGCGAGTGGAAGTGCGTCTTCGAGGACAGGAAGTGGATGCAAATGGTTGGTCGGTTGTGTGTACAAATGGGTGGTCGTGGAAGGAGGAGGAGGAGGAGGAGGGAACTTCAAAAGTCGTCAAAACTGTGTCGATGACGAATTGACGTTCGGTTTACGCTGTCTACAATGAAAGTGATCACTTTGCGCCATAAATGCGGACGGAAATGCCTCTGCGTGATAAAGTGATTGTCATCTGGATAAAACTACAAGGAAAACATTGATTTTCGTTATTTAGACCATTACCAGTAGTCATTTTTCACCCATTACTCTCTATACCTCACCGAGAGAGTCATCAAGCTAAAATGGTCTGAGTTTGCACCCTTTAAAGTTAATTTCTAAAATGCTTTTTAGAACTTACCATCATGTCAAATTCAACGCCATGTCTAACTAATTCCTTCACCAGCAAAGCAGAATGAATGAGATTTACGTTGTCTAGTAAAGGTAAAAGATAAAAGTCTTTACCTTGAAAGCAGGCACAGACAAGATAACGCTGTCATGCACTGTGACTCACCATCAGCCATTCCGTGGACAATGAGAAAGTCCTTATTTTTGAAATTGCGCGCTAGTTGGGTCACTTGAGTTCGCTATTTTGTAACAATACAACAAAATGAACAATAGCATTATTTTGGAGGTGGTTGAGTAGATAATTTTAACAATCGGTAGATTTTCCCTCTGCTTATTAAAATAAGCTAAAGTTTAAGGCAGTGACCAAAACGTATTGTGTAATTAATAATTTTTCATGTCGACCTACTTCGTAGGCGTGAGCATTTTCGGCGTAGGGCCCCAAAAACTTCTCCGTGTATGCTGCGTCTAAATCGTAAGAAAAAAATCTGATCATTCCGTGGTGTTAAAAATGCTCTTTCTTTAGCTATGCATGCATCTCGAGCATCCGAATAGTCCATCATCTTTTGATTTGTGTCTAAGATGAACCCTTTTTTGTCACTGCGTGTCGAGTCAAGTGGAAAGGACAAACTCCTGGCGAGGTCGTAAACTAGGCACTCTTGAATTCCCAAGATGGGCACTTGCGGAGAGTGACGTTAGCTTATCTTATTCCTCATAGCAGTAGTCGTTTAATTACTTGCCATCTTCGGTCAGCAGCTATGTGCTTTTAGCTAACTAGACAGTTTGACATTCCTCGAGTGTTGTGTATGTGATCCCAATAGTAATTCTGGTGATGGACTTACCGTAGAGACGAAAATCGGTGACTGGCGCTACAGAAACTCCACAGAATATGAAATCATTGTCGGGATGACCCAATATGTTTGCCACCGCAAATCCACCATAAGACTAGAAAGGTAAAAAGCAAAAGCCGACTCTCCATGATGAGCCACATCAGGCCTTCTAGCCAAACTATAACCAATCCACCTCTCCACAAAGTCCCTTCCCTCAGAGAAATTCAATGGAGATAGGAGGATCTTGCATTCCCTTAGCCCAGTTGAACTTAACAAAAGTTTCCAAGCTAGCGAATGCGAGCCATCTTCTTAACTTCCTTTCCATGCAAATTGATTGCTGCAAACCAATGTGAAGTGGTGAGGTAGTATGCAGTTGCGTGCTCTTTTTTGTCTCCTGACTCTGTGGAATGAACTACGCATACAATAGGCAAGGGGTTAGTAGGACCGGCTAAAGAGCCTCCCGCCGAAAAGTATGAAAGTCTCTCTCCACTCAACCCATGCATACTCGAAATGTGTTGCTATTTCCAGCACTAAGCTGCCTCTGAAATTCTGCTTCCTTAAAGGCTTTAGCTGCAATCTCCGTGTGGACGTCGTCTCAGGCGGAAAGTTAGTGTTGGATGAGAGGAGCTGATGTTCCTTCTCCGTGATCGAACACAGTGCTTTGACTGGCTCAGTCAGGGAGCCGTAATATGCTCCGCCTCATCCAATATTTAATAGTAAATGGAAGAACCAATGCTCCTGAGGCTAAATAATTTGCTTACCCATCCAAAGGCGCAAACCTTCGACCCGTTGAGGTACTTATGCGTCTTCAAGATTTGTCTAATAAAAAGAAAGAATGTAATATTCCCCTACATGTGAAACTATGCTTAAAAATAAGCAACTAGATGGTGGCATTTTATGTAACAAGAAAGTGGGTTCGCATAATTGGCTGAGATGGCATCAGCGGCCGCCTTCCATTCGCATCATCATTTCAGCTGTCATAATTTCAGGTGATTAAGTCGTTCAAGTGACACAGGCCTATGCCTTGTGATGCCTGCTCTGGTTTCACACCTCTCATCCGCAGAGGTATTGTTTGCCATGGCACCAAAGGCAATGGCCAAGACGTCTCAAAGATGACAACCGCACGTTTACGAGCCTGCATATGCAGAGGTTTTATACAGCCCAATGGAACTCCTGATCTGCGTGCCTGAGGTGGTAATCTCGCCCGAATGCAGAGATTTGAATTACCACAGGGTTGACATGCCAGTTGCAATTGAACAGCGGCGATAGTTGTGGGATCGCGTCACTCCTCACAGCTACTTAATTGTCAGACAAATGTTAAGGCGAACGGCCAGTGCATGCTAAGTGATGACGATGTGGAGGAAAGTTGTAAAGCCAATATGTGTCTTCCACTTTATCCCACATTTTAAGCATAAACGTGCTTTGAATAGGAAAATGTCTGCATAGAGGGAAAGAAGACTATCGCTTTTAGTCCACCCACCTTAATCCGTCCATCTGATCCTGAACCTCTACAACTCCGAACTTCTTGTAGATGGCTGATTCAAATCTCTTGCCTCTATTGCCCGTTCCTCGACCATCAATTGAGATGACCACAAACTTGAACTGTGTCACTAGGTAGGATTGCCAATCGGCAACGAATTTTGTCGTCACAGTTTGAGAAATTGGACCGCCGTATCTGAAATCAAATGCCAATAGTGCTATCGCAAGTAAACTGAAATGACTACCACGAATTCACACTTAAGGCTTGATAGGTCATCAAAATCAGCCTTTCTCCCTCTTATTACGACTTGACATTTGGCTCTGTTTGATTTGGCGTAGAGAGAGAACTCACGTTTCCAGTAGGACAGGATACTGAGTAATATGGTTCTCCACCAACTCCGGCGGTTGCACAAACTTCACATTCAATGTGATCTCTGCAGATGTTCCCTTGTGTATGGTAACATTCTCAAACTTGGTCACCGGCATGGCCTTCAATGCCACAACCTCCTTCAGGTCGGTGTTATTGGCTACCACTGCCACATGTTCCAACGATCCAAAATCTGTGGTATTTCTGACAAATCGCTTGAGGTAAACCGAAGGTGGAGATGGCCCTAGGCACTCGAGAATGATATTAGCGCCATCTTTGGACACTTTGGCAGAGTTGAACCGGCAGTTGGGATCGCCACAAGTTAGACACTTGGCCTGAGTACCACCTCGGGTTCTAAATTAAAAAGTTGTAAAGTAATAATTACTTATTTCAAATAAGTAAATAAACTTACATGAATAAATGCATTTCTTTAGGATCTTTTCCAATGGATGTGTAGAGAACCTCGTTCTCCCCAAAAGAATACAAGATGTCTCTCACGTCATAGTCTGGCGTATGCACCCACTGTGGATACTGAGTAGTTAGGTGTCTTGATATGTTCTGTGAAGATGAGGTAAAACAGGAATTGCAATTATCATCCCAAAAAATGTAATATCATATCTTTTGTCCATTTTCTCATGCTCAGCTACTTGACTGGGAGTAGGCATCTACTTTCTGCTGCTTTTTCCGCAGGAAAGTTAGTTGTATGCTTTGATGAATGAGATTATGTCGACCTTAACGCACGAGACAAATCACCGAGGTTAGTGATACGAACTTTGCTTTTTCAGCAATAAAGACTGGATTTGTTTAAATACACTGCGACTTTCCTACCAAAGATAGTCTTGCGATGCCTCGGTATACATTTGCACTGTAATAGTTGGGGATGACGGTGAGGATGGATTGCATTGTCGGTTCAACTATGGGCATTTGAGAATGTTGGTTTGCCTAAATCAAGGATATAATAGAAGGTTAAAATAAAACCAAGGAGACCTGTTAGACATCAAAGGCAGGTTTTCTGCTTCAAAATCTGGCTCGAAATTCGCCTAAATTATTCGCTTTGTTGGCTACTTATTTTAATGGAGCGCTACATAAGTAGCGCTTTCCACTGATGGCAGACTTTGATACAATATGGATCTTGTTATAGTTGTCATTTTTTATCATCTAAAAACAATCACTTTTTTGGCGGACAATTCAGTGCAAGCTGGTGGTTTAGCTGGCCCTAGCACATTTCCGCACTGTTGCCGCACAGGTCAACTCATCATGTGGATGGCACGTCACGCTGTGACAGACTCGTGAACTAGCTAGAAAAAGACCTTTGATGGTGTGCAATGATGAAGAAACAGTTAAAGAGAATAATGCCCCTTACAAGATTCACCCATCCGAATCGGGAGTGCTCTTGGTATATCTTTAAAAACAGAGAAAAGCAAAAGCAGATTTACACTCAGAACACAACAGAAGTCAAATTAGATCATATCTTTGTTATAAATTTACATCTATCAGCCACGGCAAACCCAGTTTTCTGTCATATTTTAATGAATTTCAATTATATTTTTAAAAGCTACGTTTGCTTACTGAATTCAATTTCAGTAGACAGGCACAGATATGACACTAGTGGTGTAGAGTATAGCTACAAAGAAGGCCGGCACTTACAGAATACATGGCTTGTGATGGCACATCTCCAACCACAATCCAGGCGACATCCCACTTGCGTGACACCCATCCGCACAAAAATCGCTCATCGTCAATCCACTTGAAGAAGGTCATATGGGCATCTCTTAAAAGGGAGAGGAAAAGTCAAACCTTCCATTTTGTTCACCACTCAACTACCAAACGGTACTTAGGGTTGCAGCTATTCAAGCAAACCAAAGGAGGTGGGAGCGATGGAGATGAGGGAGAAGTTCGTAAGGCAGTAAAAGACGCCTTACGTAAGCAACCCTAGTGGCCACCATATAGCCGCTGTCCTCCAACGACAAAAAGTTTTCCCTATTTTGTGACGCCCAATTCTTCGGACTAACTCACCCCTTTTCATTTCCAAACTCCTGAGGATTCGTCTGTTGCTTGCTTTATCTTCTTATTTATTAATTAGTCATCCTACTGTAAATTCGCAGATGACAAACTTACTGTGGCACCTTGTGAGGTCTTTCGAAATCCATCAGCTTGTTGGTTGCCATCAAATACACATATATTGTCAGGAATGGCATGTTAAATTTGCGTTCTTCACCAGCCTAAAAGAAGAGAAAGAACCTATCTTTGATTCTGGGAGTACCACATTCCCGAGTGCTTTGCCGCCCCACTTCATGTGACAAAGCCCACGTACGCTGCCAAAAATATCTTGTAATAATTCAGCCATACTTTTGGATTCTACCAGGCAGAATGCACTATCCGACATGTACCAGACAGGGACCAGAAAAAAAGCGCTCCATTTTGGCCACTCCTCGGACAATCGAATAAATGGAAGCCTCCTGCGTTCCGGTTGTTTGATTAATAGGTAGACACTAGCAAAGGCGCCTGATGCAATTACCTCCCTCGTGAGGCAATCTAGCAACAAATGAGTTTGGGCAGACATGAAGAATACATCGTTTTCTGCCACTTCATTGTTTAATTCGACCGAAAATGTTGCGATCTTATTTCAGCTCTTCCACTTCTTTTCACCTTCCCATCGCGCAGCAATGTGGAAGATGTTAAAAGGCAGGAGGGTGATGAGTGCCTCAAAAGCTGAGGCCACTTTAAGGCCGTTGGTGCACTGCAATTAAGCAATTCACTGTACTCTACGAGACATTCAGTTCGGTCATCGTCTCATGAGTACACTTAACCATTTTAACCCCCCATTATTTCAACTAGAAGGTAAACAGAAAGTTATTAAGGGGGAAAAAATAGAATCAACGCTTGTTTTTTTTACATTTTAGCGTCGTTCCCTTTTCTGCACGCCAGCTATCACCATAACCCTACGAAAGCATTATTTTTGATATTCTTCTCAATTAGTCTGTACACAAATCGGTAATCCATCATGATCGCCGATTAATTCTAATGTAAGTAGACAAATTTTGTGTGTAATAGGGAATAAAGAGTATTCTTTCCCCAATAAGTGGGAAATAATCTTAGCAAACAATTCTGCCATATGATTGGTTAAAACAGTTCCGCAAGTGATCCGAGTAGCCCAAGTCTTCCGTGTACAAGTGGGCTAGCATAGTTCTAAAGCTATGTTAGCTTTCTGAGGCCCTCACTTGCTGGGTTCTCCCAAACTGTGGCACTTGCGGTTTGTGGGTTGGGTGGAAGGAAGGCCACTTTGTGGTGAAAGACAGTTAAAAAGCAAAGGTGTCAAATTCGCCATAGGAACGAAAACAGAAGTTCGCCTTATCGAAATGTTTTTGTGTGTGTGTGTGTGCATGTGTAGAAGTCTAAATTTTGTTTCGACGAGATGTCAGCCCTCACAAAAGGAAAAAATGAGTAAATAAATAATCATCTCGCCCATGGTTGGTAAGGGTCCCTGTTAAAATAGTTACATCACGATAGACGCAAAGGGGAGCGAAGCGTCCCACATGTACCATCAGTGGATTCAATGCAAGCCCTGAGTGACTTTGGTGTAAACAATGAAGAGTTGCAGGACATCCGAATAACTTTGCCAGATGCACGATTTACGGTAGCAGCGCATGCCTTTGTCTATTGCTCTCACCGATTTTACCACTAAGAGGTGTTGGTGCTCTGCCGTCCCCTTGTTTCAGTCTTTCCGGATGATTTCATCAGGCTCTTAAACTGAGGTTGTCTTTCACTGGTTTTGATAGGCTCACTTTCTCTCCACGACAAGAAGTCTTCATGACTTCCACTAAAAACTGACGAAAAGATGTTGCTTCGCCAAAATCGCCCCTCTCCTCTTTTATCCCTCACCTTCATATCTCTAGTCCACTAAATGGTTAGCTATAGTAATGAACTGGAAAGCAAGTCATAAAAACTGCTCCTTCTGACACGAATGTAAAGGTGAATGCCAATTTTGTTTGACTTAATAAAACTTAAAGCCTTATTAACTTGAATGTCACAATAAACCTGCATGCTTGGCAAGACCCACTACCCACGCCCACTAGCTATGCGACAAGAGGCAACCGAGGAGACTCAAAGCACGTGGATTTGGCAGTGAGCAGCAACTTACCATGGGATAGCTGTGATCGTTCACCTGAGGTCCGAATGTGCCCGGAGTCTCAAAGAAAAGCAACTTAGTTTTGGTTACGTTGGTTTCGTCTATCGCGGTGAAGGCCAATTTTGTGCCTTGTGGACTCCACCAAAAGGTCTGAGAAGCACCCATTATTTCCTCTACCAAATGAAATGAGAAATAAGACATCGTTAGTACTGTTTCACGGGGTGACCACAGTTGAGTTTATCACAGTCGTCAAGCCCAGTACGATGAAAGTAGAGAGGGGAAGGGACCGAGACAGATTTTAATAAACAGCTCTACACATACACAATCTGGACATTCCCTCATGAGGCGATCTGCCAGGTGAAAATCTGTGGTCCACACACAAGTGGGAATGTCAACAAAACGACTCAAAATCCCACTTAAAGGGAAAGAAGCAGACTCAACAGGAAGTGCTCTCCCACTCAACTGAGAGAGGAAGGGAAATGGTTCACCCACCATGAGCCAGTCGTTTTATAGCATTAAAGAGTGTCTCATTTGCCATATGGTCAAACAGCCCTCCTCCTCCTCCTCCACCTCCTGTGTGTGTGTGTGTGTGGCCTAAACAAACAAAAAGTTGTCGTGGAATTATTTCCAATGCAGCCTTTTTTACCCCGATGCCAAAACAGCTCCCGGTGGACTATCGTGATGCCATCAGTGCCAGTGACTTTTGTCTAGCAAAAGATAGGCATCGCATGGCAAAACCACCTCCTCTCCATTTTTGTACAACGCGATAAGCCTTTCAGATGGAAATGTAGTGCCTTTCTGTTCGCCTCTTTAGCAACCCCAAATTCCCCGCCTACTTCCTGCGTTCCACACATAAACACACACGTGTGACACAATTTAGCAAAATATGCGTTTTTTTTTTTGTTAGAAATGGAAATATGTTTGCTTTTAAAACAATGTTTAGTGAAGTGGGAACAAATTTTTTTGGCGCTTTGGGTTGTGGGCTAGGCCAACTTTGGGTGGAGTTTGTCAGGTGTTCCGCGGATCCACTTGTCATGGCTGTGCCACTTTGTGTGTTCACGGGGCAGCCCTTTTAAAAATCCTTTTTTTTTCGCCTTTTTAAGTGAAAAAAGAGCAACCCTTCGTGATTTATTGCTCAGTTGTGAAATAAAAACACGTTTTATTGCTTTGTTAACAGGAGTGTTGCAAGGTCGTTGAAACCCACGTGATTTAAGTAGTGTGAGTATGTTGTTGAGAAAAAATTTTCAAAGTTTTAATGCCTCGATGACTTGACTGGCGCTGTGACAGCAGTGTCCAACTCACACCACTGTAAAGTCAGGCGTGGGAAGCAAAATGGTTTTTCAACCAAATTTCGATGAGATGAAAAATGGAATCGGAGCTTTGCCCTGTCAAAGCAGTCAACTTTTTCAATGAAGAAGGCTCCAACCCCCAGAAAGAGGGATATTTGTGGCCTCTCGAATTATAATGGCAAGGAAGGTGGACATGTTAGAAGCTCCCTGTCCACACTTCAATTGCACTTTCGAGAGATGGCCAGGCACCATCGTACTGAGCAAGACAACTCGGGTCGAACTGTCTGGGAGAGCAGTTGCCCGTCCTTTCGAAGGCAACATTTAAAACTTTTTTTTGTCAAGTGCGGAGTTTACCTTCGTAGAGGAATCCAGCGACCCCATAAAGCACACCTTCTCGGTAAATTTTGGTCGTTATTGGTACGGGCATATTGTCCACTGATTTGTTGAAGGGATTTCGTTGACAGTAGATGTGATTCTTGTAGACAAAAGCCTGAAGCAGAAAGGACAAACAAAAGAGGAAGTAAAAGGAGGTATGAACAACTAGTAAGGTCGTTAAAATTCCATTTGCCGGCCTCCTCCTCTCCTCTCTGACAAAGTTTTCAGTTTTGGATGATTCAACCTTGTTAATTTACTGCAAAATTGTCGAACAAATTTGGAGAGTATTTTATGCTCCAAAACGTACCTACAGTTAAGAGAGAGTAATAAATGTTGCCCTGGCGACATCAGATATGAAACTTTTAAGGACACCTCGTCACCCCCTTCCCCACTGCTTCGCCTTTTCCCCCACCTCCATCACCTCTACGCCCTCTTCATTTCGAATGAGTGCCACAAATTTTCCCCTTCCCATCAAGAGCAAGGTTGTGAAGGGAGGAAGAGCTGCGTCAAAGAAAGCACTCAAAAGCCACAGGAACGATGGGCAAACGGACTGCGAAGGAAGGGGTAAGGAGAGATGCGAAAGGTTCGATCAGATGGAGAGGTTGAAGAAGCTCACTCCTCTTTAGTCCTTCTACTGCTCTGAGGTCTCATTGTCCGCCTGACTAACGTGTCAAGCCATTTGAGATCAGAAGCTGCCATTGTGACAACATCGGGCAAAGTCAAAGCCGCAGTACAATTTCGATGGCTTGGGTTTAACTAACCAGATCTTCTGGAAGGGTGAAAAATAACTTCCACAAGTGAACACGCCGTATAAATCAAAAATTCCTGACATCAATTGGGACAGATATTAGCAATGAGTAAATTAACGTCTCATGCATTACTAGGTGACGGCAAACTTCAAAGATTCTCAACTATTTGTTTTCTCTAGGTAATAAGTGTCTGCCCAACCTACTAATTGGAACCTCCAACTGATCAATCTGCAGCCGTGAGATACACCTCTCCATCACCCAAAAAGCAGGACTTTAATTCTTTGTGTTTGTTTATATGGTGACCCACGTCTACCGAATGACAGCTCGAGCGAGAGAGAGGAAGGGAGGCGATGAAACCAATTCCAAAGAAACTAAAGAGATTCATTCTTAAGGCGGCGACGCCAGACCACACAAGAAGAAGAAATGTACTTTAGCTGAGACCCAGGGGTTTAAATCCCTAATATTCTCTTTATACAAACTTACTACACCTTCTAAGTGTTTACAAATCACAGACAGTTGGGAGAAAGTGAAAGTATTTGGGCTAGGCGACACATCGACAAGCGCATGAATGATTCATAGGCAAGTGTCCTGTTTTGAAGTAGAATATGTCAAACAAAAATAAAATAAATGAACGCTTTCATTCCTGAACGCAAATAATATCTAAGTTAGCTATTTTATCCACACTTTTCCTCTTTTCATTGCAAATTTGATGGAAATATCATTCCTTTATTTTGTCCAATGCGATTACAAAACGACGACACTGTTTGGACCAATCAGGAACGAGCAGCGTTTGTTTTGCTAATTACGACCATCTTAAGGGGACAAGACTTAGATGAGAGATTTTGTAAATTAGTCTGAGTATTCTATGGCACAACATCTTCTTGTTAGCTTGGAGGATACAACAGTGAGACTTCTTGCTGCCTCATTTTCCCCTTCCTCAACTTAAAAATGCGACATGTAAGGTTGAGCTGGAAGGGGACTTGGCATCAATCGAGGAAGAAAATGAATGAATGAATGAACGTAGAAGTGTGAGAGTGTTGAAATGAGGTAAAATACTCTTCTGCTTCACTGTGAACGAAAGGCCTTAACTACTCCCAAGGCAACATTCATTTTTCCAACATTCTTCGAGCATAATTATTCGTGGTTTGATGCGCACTGTTGTAACCGATTCAATTTTCGCAACAAAGCATGTCAGAACACGGATATGCGAAGGGCGCGATAATTAAGGAGGTTTCTTCTCTCCGCCATTCATGGGGATCACGCAAATTATGTCCCTCGAAGCCTACAAAAATTACGCTCTCAGTCATCAGTCTCTATCAAGCCTGACAATGAGGTTGACGAACTTGGACAAGAAGTTAGCAAAAGGTGAAGAGACATTTAATAAAAAGGCAAGACAATGGAGGAAAGCAACCTACCAGCGCCTCTGAATTGGGCGAAAATTGAGCGTGATTGAGCAAGGGCTGTTCAAATCCCTCCTCAAATGGTCCAATGTCTACTCGGGCTTGGATTTGAGGATTGTTGCCTCTGGCAAGAGAAAAAAAGCATCCTTGTTTTAAAGGAAAAATTCAAATTTTTTTGCTAAAAAATCTTCATAGAGGAGGAGAGAGGACCAATGAAGGCTGGCTCATGTCTTCCTACTTGCCACAGTAACCGTAGGACAGGAATTTTCATGAATGTAAGAAAACATTGCGAGTAGAGAGAGGCGTCAATCTGACTTTTTTTATTCACAGTCCAGTAAAACTTGACAATCCGATGACAACTACTTTTTGCGCTCTATCCCAATCATTTGGCCTGTGAGAAGAGCCTACATTTAATGGAGGAGGCGTTCCTTAGTTGCCCAAAGTGCAAAACTCATTATTCAACATATACAGTTTTTATTTAGTTTTTTTTTTATCAGCGGAGACTGCATAATGAAGAGCTCTGGAAAGGACGTCGCACTTTAGCGTGACTCCGATTTAACTTCACCCCTCAATTCATCCCATCCCTCTTTTGCTCTAAAAACAGCATATTTTATTTCTTTGGAGGGAATGGCGACTGGTAGAGAGAAAGAAGTCAAATCCCAAGTCATTAACCCAAAAAAGAAAATTATTTTTGAGTACGAGAGATGCTAAGTCAAATGAAAACGAAAAATTAGGCGAGAAACTCCTCCATGCAGTAACAGTTAGTTATGTGGAATGGAAGAATAAAGATAAGGGTTACTTAATTTATACCTCATCCACGAAGCCTAATTTTTTAGCAAAATAAAGAAAAAGTTGGTCGAAGTCAACGCAAGAAGTGAAAATATTCCGTAAAAAGGAAAAAAATAATACTTAATATAGTGGAAGAAGTATGAAAGGTAAGATTAAAGCCAAAATACCTACCACCGATAAGTCCACAAAGAGGACTACAGAATACGAAATTGTAAATTATTGCCCCATTAAACGGAAGCTATTTATTTCTAAGGCGGTTTGATTTTCCTGATTTAACTTTACTTTAAGTAAAAACCGTCGGCTGCTGGCATCCTCCCTTCCCACATCCTTTAATGCCAGAAAAGGTGCATTCCTTGACGGTCAATTTATCTCATGCATGGAATTTGGGTTTAAAGGAGTCGGGTTAGACTATTTTTGACCTAAAATAAATGCTATTTAATAGTTTTGATGCTATCTGGTCTTGATTTTAAAATATGGTAGCCGTTTACAACAGCTCGTAAAATAAAGAACGTTTGATGATAAATTTCAATCAGCGTTGATATCTGCGCTAAAATGTATGATGAAAAATTTCAATCATCTAACTCTTTGAAGCTAGCTTGTTCTTACGAATGTAAACGAATCCTGCCAACTGAACAACTCTTCGTTTACTTCTTTCCATCCCATTTCTTTAAGAGTTGCGAAAAATCCATCCAGTAAGGACTAGCAGCGAAGAGAGCTCCGAATGCATTAACCGTTGAATAAACAATAAAGTGGGCAATTAAAACAAGCCTATCTAATAAGCATAAAAACATCATAGCCCTGCAGATTTGAGTCTGCTTAGCCTTTTTTCTTGCAACTACATCAAAACCTTGCCGAATATTAAATGCTCGATATTCATTTTGTTTGTCAATTGCCACACTTTGCTTTGTTGTTTTAATCTTACCACTTAATGAATCTTGAATGCGTTAAACGCGTAATAAATTTGACAACTAATCGTCCATTGCTGCGGAGTTGTTCGTATGCATACCTTTTCCGAGATAACCAGTGTATTTTATTTTTGGGATAGCAAAGTAATTAATTAAGAATTTTAATGGCCAAATCGCGTCGAGCTGAAATCGTCCATTGAATCGAAGCTCCACCACAGTCTTGCCCAGTTCAAGATTTTGTGATTTATGTAGCTTCTATAATTTCAACTGAAAATTTACAGTCTTTCTGTGATGATATGCCAATTTGGGGAAGGAAATTGGGGTGGCCATGCGAAAGATACCGATGTAGCCTTGCTATTATGCTTCACCGCAGGCCACCACTAATGATTTATGGAGATATAGTGGGGAAAATTAACTCACGGGGACAGCAGAACAGCTTGATATTGCGAGAAATAGCTCCTGCGGTAAATCTAAATGCAGTACGGAAGTCGACTATGAAAGCTGGGTGGGAGAAGTGGAGATTAAACATGAATTATGCCACGTAATCTACCAACTTACTGGTATAAATAGGTAGCGTAGCAGTAGGGTGGTCATATTCTCAGAGACACTCAGGATTCCAGTGAAATTCTGTTTCTAAAATTGCAGACAAGAAGAGCAGTAAAAAGAGAAATATGTGTTCATTTACACTGATAGCGAGATTTTCAAATAACTTACTTCTCGTAATTGCGCGCTGGTCATTATTAGCCTGTGTTTGTGGGTTTTGAGGTCGATTGCAAGCAGGGATCCATTTGAGGACAGGTAAACTAAATTATCTAAAAAGTAGGAAAAAAGGCATTGCAAAGATGAGAGAAGTTAGTTTGTTTTCATTAACAAGAGGCTTACTTCTTGTAAATTGAGCATTCGGGCGGTTGATTAAACCGTTGAGCATTGCAACATCATTTAGTGTCAAGGGGAGCCCGTAATATGGTTCGGTCTTGTCTATTCAATTACAAAAATTGGAGTTTATGGTTTTCGGATCAGTTGACTCGGAGAAAGCTGAAAAGAACTCACAGTCGTAGGTGAGAAAGCACGCAAGGACGATTAGGGCTGATATTACGCTTATCACAAGAAGAGCCAACAGCAAACCCTTCCAGTTGCGTTTGGCCACTTGAGATGATGGCTTTATCTGGGCAAGACAATGTTTAAATCAACAATAAAATTTTTTATCACTTAACAAGAATAACTTCAAAATAGCTAAACCTTAGAAATAGAATGAATTCTATGCAATCTAATGAAGTACCTACATCGGCTTCGTAACACTTAAAAGTTGTATTAAAAAGACGCATGAAACACGAATCTCCTTCGTCGGGAGACTCGTCCTCCTCTGGATAGCCCTCCAACTCATCGCCAGGTCTGCCGAGGGTTTTTTTTGTTAAAGGTAATGGAGTTCGTAAGTCCACACCTCTCACACCGTACATCCCCTTGGAATCGGCTATCGCGTTAATATTTAAACTGCCGCTCCGTTTAAATTCGCCAAGGTCATGGTTCCGACATTTTCATTGGTAGACAGTACAAAGCGCTTATTTGTCCCTCTGCAGTGTGCATTAGCGCAACGAACATCTCGTCTCCTCGAAATCATGCAAAATGGGCGTTGTATTGCTAAAATCTGCCTTACTTTTGATCAAATTAAGAAGAAGCCTTAGAAAATTGTAGAAGCAACACCCAAACATGAAAGAAGAATAGTATTAGTTGATGGGTGGCATCAGCACGTCTCATTAAATGTGTCGTAATGCAAAGCATTTGCGTCAAACCGATACTTGTGTCATATATATGACAACTCGAAGAGCCCACGTCCTAGTTTCGTGGTTAGACTGTCTTAGCATGTGGTATGTTATGTGCAACACATGATTTTTGTCAGTCCCCTGAATGAAATTCTGGACAAAATTTGAGAAGCAAGTTGTCATTGCCAGTGATGAACCTTTTCATGTAAACGAATTCTAGGTGGAGTTAAGCACATCAATGCGATTTGGAACGGCGGAGGTCTACTGAAAGTAAACTAGGAGAAACGTCCCTCCACAAAACCAAGGTAGTGTTACCTACATCTGTCTAACCGTCTTGCCGCTCGTGGCACTAAATGGCGTACCACTTTGTCATTTTATTGTCGTAAGAACAGTAAGTCGCTTTAGCCTCGCACTTTGTACAGTCCTTTAGAGCCGAAAATTGACATTCGAAGACTGTTTACCTCCTTCATTGAATTCTTCTTTCGGCAGCGCATAAAACAATCGCCTTTTCTTAAGGCAGCTAACAAAAGTCTTAAAATAAAGGAAGAGGCTCATCAGAAGGGAGGAGAATTTGCACGCGTAGTCCTTCCTTTATTAGCATTTTCCGGGTGCCTCCTAGGGGCACTTTCTTTTGTGCTAATTTGAGCGATTGTGAACTTAACCGCAGTACCCAAATGTCCGTATCAGATGAATGACACGCGAAGATGTATTTACAAACGTAGATTCGCTGTTTAATCAGCACCCAGCGACAAGAGTGAGGCCACCGCCAGAAAAAAAGCAATTTGTTTACGTACGTGAGAAGTAAATACATTTTGACACGAAAACTAAATATTTCCTTAAAATGGTAAATTCCAAGCCCATCCCCGATTGGACAAAAAGATACGAAATTATAAACAACGTGACTGAGTAGGACCTCTCAAAACAAGGATTTAAGATCACGCACTCATAGGCGGAGACCACATCAAAGGGGCAAAGAGGCAGCCTTAATTCCTAAGCCAGTCCCATAACGAAGACACAGAGCGCGATACGCACAACTGGCTGCGGGCACAAAATAAATTTATAAAAAAAGCATAGGTAAGACAACTACACGATGAACTCTTTAGGCAAAGCTTAAACACCTCCAGACTTTAATGCAAGTAAGTTTAATCGGATAAACGGGGTTCTACTGAAATACAACAAGTAGCATAGGTTGGGTGGCCTGTGATCAATTTCACGATTTCAAAGCAGCAAGAAGTCTCTACTGGCGTGCAATTAGTAGCGGCACTCTTGACGCAATTAGCGTACGAACACCATTCCCAAGCCTCCAGGAATAGCGTGGTCAGTTGGACACTCCGTTGTTTTTAGGGACATATCGTCTGCTCTAGCAAATATTACGCTGAAGAGCGTGCTCAATAGCATTTGTACGAATCATATCCACAGCAATCGACAATTGAATAGAGCCATAAAATCGGCATTTTAGTAGCCCCCTTGTCCAGGGTAGACGGCGAAACGGCAACCAGTACAGCCAATCCCACCTCTGTGCCCGCTTCAACCAGAAAGATAATTTACCACTTTTGCTGCACTGAGAATTGTTCTAATGAATGCAAACCAAAGCAAAGTTTCACAGGCTCATGGCCATGCCATTAAACAGCAGTAATGAAAAGGGCGTTTGAGAGAAGTACACGGCAAATGCATTACCGACATGTTTGAAGCACTTCCAAAGTCACGCCCCCCAAATCGGATGCCTTTCGAAAACAGCTTTCGAGCAACCATTAAGGGAAAGGGCAAAACCAACACTTATACGCCAAAATTAGACAAAAAATGCCCCCAAAGCAAGTCAAATAGCAAACAGAGCACTTTCTACTCATGAAACTTTTATCAATTCAAACAAATGATAAATATAGAATTACGAATTCGGGAGGAACAATTTTTTGCCAATTTTTTCATGCACTGAAGTATACAAGAATTAGTTGTTTTTTTATTTAAAACTTTACGAAACGTTTTGCACATGATTTGGTCAAACAAGCGCTAAATTTATTTCTAAAAATAAACTTGTGCGTTTAGGAGTAATAATTAGTAAACTGAATCAGTGGAAAAACAAAAGTCCCCTCCTCAATGAAAGTGAAGCTTTGTGGCTGTCCGCGAGGCAAACAATTCAAGACTCGTTGATAAATCCGTTAAACGACTCTTTGAGTACAAAAAAAACATTCTACTCACGCAACGTAGAGTCTGAGGCGTGCTTAGCCCTAAATTCGCACCAAATATTTTATGTCGAAATGAATACTGACAGTTTCAGTGCGATCAAATTGCCACGTTGCTTTCATGTCCACCTAATTTGTAGGAGCGAGCGATGATTCGTATTTTGCGGTTAAGTAAGACTTACCTCGAAAGAGGAGGTGTGGCCAAGCAATCGCCATTACAAGGCGATCCAACCGCTATGCATAGAAAACTGCCAAAGCACAAGGCCTGTGGCCTTTCAAAAAAAAATATTACGAAGGCATTTTGTTGGATCACAAGTTAAAATCAGACAGGTAAAATTGCACCTCTCCTGGAGGCAGTCAAATTTTACAGTAAATAACGCGTCTGTACCCTTAATATAGTCGTGTTTTTAACATTTTACGCCGCCATCTCCTGTCGGATGATGTTTTGACGTGCTTAAGTCGGAGTGAGTGGAAGAATAGATTCAACACTCCCGCCATTTCACATCTTTATGGCTTACGATTTTTTTACTAAAGTCTACCTTTTAGCCTTTGACTGCCTTGCTGCTGGATTAGTTCAAGACAAACGCATCAATTTCGCATGGCACAATGACATGCACGGTGCGGGTGACAAATCGTAGAATCATCGGAATGAAGATGCCTGTTCCAAATATGTGTCAGAGAAGCATGGTAAAATAGGCAGTATTAAGTTGATGAGCGGTTTCTATTAGCCAAGGGCAGATTTAAGGGAGGTTGAAAAAATGACGGGTGATGGATGGGTGGAAGAAGACCGGCGAGAGGTGTGGTTGATAGAAATTGGTATATTAAATAAGAAGATGCCGAAATCCCCAAAAAAGTGGACAAATTGATTGACAATTAATTCTGTGTGGCACTCATCAGGCTTCACCCTTTTCATCAAGGGGTGGCTGGGATGACAAGAAGGTAGTTGAATTTAGTGGTCTTACAGAGTACTCGTAACCACCAAATGTAAATTCCGAGGTGATTACGTAAACGATAAAATGCAAGTGAACCGAAAAAGCAAGGTCTCCCTTAATAATACTACTCGACCTGAGTCACTCTTTCAAATTAGTTCACAATCTTTCTAATTTCAACTCTTCAGCATTGTGTACAGCAGTAAAATATAATCCTGGACGGCCAAAGCAGTTTTAATGAAGCGAAATCTAGTTTGACGTAAGCAAAATTCAGCTTGAGGTTACAGGTCTTAAAATAAGATCCTTTGCATTCCATGAACTAGTTCAATTTGATAGATCATTTTAACCAATCACACTTGCAGTAAACTTTTACTAACGCCTTTAATATTGAACAAAAGTTTCTCCGTCAAGTTAAGTTGATTGGATTCATAACAAGCAAATTGCCGTCTCAGGTACGGAAGTGACGTTCCTTATTGCAAAGTTCATCAGCCATAAAAAACTCGACCTAAGGCAAAGTAAAATAGATCAACTGTATTATTAAGATACTTCTTCCATCTAATCCACACCAGCCTTTTAAAGCGATACGGTCAGGATTGAAAAGATATATTGCATACTAAAGGAAATGATGAAAAATACAACACAGTTGAAGAGACGTATTCCTTGAAAGTTTGAGTGACTTTTCTTTACATGTGGATGTAAACATTAGCCTTGAATATAATATTTTACCAATAACAGCTTGCAGAAAAAGTGTACTTTGAACATAATGTTTTAAATGTTTCCTAGCCGTGACCCCTGACTTGAAAAGACGATTGTTATCCGTAAATTTAAACAAATGATTTTTAAAGTCATGCAAGGTAAATGGTGCTGTTTGCTATACAAAACCCTACTAACAACTTTATTTAAATTTCAAAAGAGCTCACTGATCGTCTTTCGACGAATTTCAGAGATTTCTCTAATAATTCTCTTTACTGGAATGATATAAACTTCCACTAGATAGATTGAAATCAGGGAGGAGGACGACCCTGTAAAAATTGCTAAGTGTGCTAATCAGCTTTTCAATCTTTGTAGTTTTTATATGACAAAATTTCAAAATACGTATCAGTTCACGAAAAAGCCCCAAGCTTAAAAATCCGCGTAAGATTTGCATCCAAACTAGAGGCGGTTTTTGGCTGTGTGGCGTCCCGAGACTTCTCATAGGGTAGTAAAAGGCATAATTGAGGTTGAATGTATGTATTTGGAAGACGACAGGGCAAATGGGACCTGAGCGTGGCCCGAAGGCCACCCCAGGTGTACAGGGGCCAGACAAATTCTAAAGTGACCGCCAAACGTCAAGTAGTCACATAAACAAGGCACTACAGGTTGTGACATGAAATAACCAGCCGAACTACTCTACTCAACTTAAGTCAAGTAATTGTTAAGTGATTCATGCCTGTGTAGAAATTTCCTTCAAATTGGGCAAATTTAGCAATGCTTTTAAAGTGACAATTCTAGCCAACTAACATTCCTCCGCGCATTCAGCAGTGCCTGTCATTTTGCCCTAATAGATTGATCACAGCCTTCTAATGGTATCTTCAACTTTTGCTGATTT